ATATGAGAGAAAAACATGCAAACAACAAAAACGTCACACTGCCGGTGTGAACACATCTCAGTGATGACCGTTAATGTGAAAACCGAGTGGAAGTATTTTAAGAGCTGATAACTCGGGGCTGTCGCCGAACACTACAGTTTAAAATGGGCTGGCCTCTGCTAGAAATAAATTTCGTGGTGGACATGCGATGCTCAACTACCTGTCAGCGAGAAGAATGCCGCACTAAAGAGACGGCTCAGAAACAAAGAGCCTTCAACCTAAATGCAGTAAGAAGTAGCGAAAACGAGAGCGATTCAAGGGAAAAGTTTGGTTAAGTGTTGGGGCTGGGATTGAATCTCCAGACCGCAAACTAGGTATTCTCGCAGACCATCCGAGGTGAAAAGAAGGGCAGTCTAAGAAATCTGAAAGACAAATCAAAACACTCTTACCAGGGATGAGAACATCCTTCGGCAATGGAAAGTGCTGTGAAGAACTCCTTACCCAAAGCAACTGCAGGAAGATCAACAGGGAACGGATACAAGTATATCAGTAGGTGAAATCACACGAATTGTGAAAAACTTAAAAAGTGGCAAAACTGCTGGAATCAATAACTTTCGCCCTAAAGGCATTAGCGAACAAGACATATTGTAGCTAACAGGTTTTTGTCAAACAGAAATTGGTACGGGGAAGGCAACGGACGGACTAGAGCACATAAGTTCTAGTACCCCTGTTGAAGAAGGCGCACTACAGGGTGTGTTCAAATAATCTGGGGCATTACCATACTGAGCCTCTCGGGAAAAGTCTACGAAAAGGTGGCTTTTGATCCTGCCGAGACACATCTGACGATATATTCGCCCTATGTCATACTGCTCAGAAATCGTCGCAGTTCGCCAATCCGGTTACATTTGCTTTGTTGACCAAGAAAAAGGCTATGATCGGATCCAGCGCAACAGTCTTTGAGCATGTCTACGAATATGTAGGATCGATGGTCAGTTGTTACGGGCCATTCCAACACTGTATGCTTATAGCAGGTACTACATCGGATTAACTGGCATTAATTGGATACCCTTCAGCGTTGGTTTCTAAGGCCATGGCTGAAAAACTTCGATCACGGATAAAAACGGCTGAAATATGCTTTCTGAGATGAATTGTTGGGTTAACGTGGTACAAAGTTCAAATATGCGACGGAGCATTGATGTGTATCCGGTGATTCTCCGAATTAGGGGCTGCCATGGTTTGGGTATCCTGTAAATGCTTCCGGAAAGACTAAACAGCTGCTATCTACGAACCGACCGGTCGAAGAACACGGGGACGCCCAAGAGGCAAGTGTCTCGACACAATTACTCCAGACTCAGGTTATTTTCTGCCGAAGCTCGAACGCTGGCACAGGACTGGAAAAGTTGTAAATATTATTCGACGCCTTTGCCTCCGCGGCCCGAAAAAATAAACGGTCATCGAAACTGACCGACTGATAAAAAGCCACTACATTTTTTAATAATTAAGGCTAAATATTTACTACGCAATTTTGAATCAGACTTTCGCGATTTGACCTCTACATACACAGTTTAAAAAAATAAAATTATATCCATGTTATAATAATCTTGCCAAGTGGTAGAGCTTCATTTGTCAGGTGCCACTTCGTTCAGATTCTCCTGCGGTCAACATAGCGCATTCACCAGGGTGTCAGACTCGAAACCGAAAGATCGAGGGTTCCAGCTCCTAATACACTTTCTCATCATTCCGAAATGCATAAACCAGTACCACATTCTGAAGAAAGCAAGAGACTACACGCGGAAGACATCATTATAGAAACAACATGGGAACTCATGGCTGAGAGAGTGCGAGATCAGTGCTTAAGAGAAAAATTTATAAGATAAGGACAGTAAGAATATCATTCATCATGGAAATGGACGTGAGATCAAGGACCCAACGGATTCAGAATCTTTTATCGTTATTTACCGATATGTTAATAAATGAGAAACATGTCGTCACTTGGTTCACCTTTGCCTCGCATAAATGTTAGTAGTAAACTTCACAGACCGTTCCCTTTAGGTATCGTACACGTGCAGAAAGAAAATACTTTTCAGCTGATCAATACATGTTTTAATGTCTATTATATAACTGAGAGCTATTAACGAGAAACAGCCGAGAGCAGATTAGCGGTTTACACATAACACAATACACATGACCTATCACATGACAGACAAATACCGACGTTTTGGTACATACCACATAGACATCAAGGTAAAGGAGGTAGTAGTTTTTGGTTATTGTAGCGGTGGTCTGCAGCAACAGGACCGGGACCGTTTAAGTAAATGACAGTCGCCGTTTGAATGACAGTACTCAAAGGAAATGATACGAAATAGCCGCCACTGCTGTATTCGAGTTATTCTAGGCTTCTTTTACCTTGTTTCGTTAAAGAATTAGATACACTAACAGCCCACAAAATGTTAGTACACTTTAAAGGAGATAATATGATGTTTACACAAACAACCAACCAACCAACCATTTCAACTTTTTAATCAATGACCTAAATAAACAAAAAACCTACACGAATCGTCTGCTTTTGACAACAACGGATCGACGCCATTCGACCAGCAGACAAAGTTCTCCCGCATAGGCCGACCACAGACGACATGGTAAAAAGGAACACGGATGAACGTTGGCGTCGGTAACCAAAAGTAAATGTTTTTTGTTTAAAGCCTTATGTCAAAAGACTATCGAAACTGCGCATTTTTGGTCTGCATCTCAACCGTGTTAATGGGACACCTATTCCAAAACACGTGTGTTACGGTGCTTTCACCCAAGCAGTATCGTAATGTTTTCTGAAAAGTAGGTACATTCTGAAAGTTGGACAAGACGACATACAATGGAAACATGACGGTTGGTTACCAGAATAACCATGAATGGTTATTTCGGACATGCACTCTCATATTAATATTTTAGCCAAGCAGAGTTCAGAAATTCGATCTACATTTTGCAGCTGTACACACTTACACGCAACAGCGACAGCATTGCTGCGCACCGGTGGACGTCAACGGATATTGCTGTTGTACCATTTTCACGAAGGATTAACAGAGCAGTAACTGCTAAGTAAACTAGAGTAATGATGTCTGACCTTTACAAACAGTACTTCAAATGCAATATTTACTAAATGACGTTCATTTTTGTGAGCAGAGGTAATATTTCTGTTCATCTGTAGGTCCGCCACAATAAAGTGCGTCTGTTTTCATGGTCCTTCAAAGCATCTACAACCGTTTGGTAAATACGAAGTGAAAAAAGTCTCAGGAAACACTCAGTTTCCTTTTTGAATCAATTATCAAAACAACTCAGGCACGGGTCTCTTACTTTTTCTGATAGTTTTCTCAGTTTCCGGTATGACGTAGCACCATTCTCTGAGGATACTTGCTAGACAACGTACTTGAAACCTGATTAAATCAGTTTCATGAAGTTTAAAGACCACAAATGAGACTTCTTTCGTGGAGTTTGATTCTCTATATGCCGCACAGCATGTCGAAATTCCTAGGTTCACTGTTTTCATTGTTAGTCAGCACAGTTTGACCGTATCTGATGTGGTCCACCTCTTCCATCTCAATACAATTCAATAATGTTCTTGAACTGTCAGTCTCGGCAGAGGTTCTTATGAATTTCTTTTTTTCAACTTTCACTCGTATTGCAGTTACCAGAGCGATGTTTCACACGTTTTTAGTGAGCTTCAGTAGGTCACATGCACAGTCGCTCAGCAACGCAACTTTTTTTCGCAAACTTCTAGGAATGTGTCAGAAGCAGGAATCCTACGTAACGCTCTATATCAAAGAAGGCACTGTTGTTATCTTCGTATGCTCTTTGTAAAATGGTGCTATTACATACTAGTACTAGTATATTCGCTGTGTGCAACCATTAAGTGTAATAATGAAAAATCGAGTTCCTTTATGACTTTAGTCATGCAGTTAACTTTAATACTTTCAAGAAAACAGCAGGCGTTTGTTAAGATTTTGTACAATAAACAGCTTAATTTTTTGCAGGGCTATATTTTCTCTAATCAGATTCATCAAATCCACTTGAGTGCCTCCCAGATGGATGCCAGCATACCTACGTGCGCCAC